TGCACCGAGTTCCCTGCCCCGGGGCTACGAAACCCGTTCCGCTATGTTACTGGCCATGATAGCAATGGCGAGCCAACATTTCTACTGGTAACTATCACTCTTCCGACCAGATCTGTCAAGGATTCCCACTAATTCCCTTTAAGACAGATCATGGCGACCACCGCGATGTTATGTTAGACGGTGAAGGCGCTCAAAGCATCATGTACAGCAGCAACAGCAACCCAGTGGAGCTCACCAACGATGTCGACATAGAGTTTGCCAGAATTAACAGAGTATATCTCCAAACCTCTCAGTAATCTATATAGCTAACTACTATCAGCCTTCTCTCCACATCCCAAAAGGCTGTGTCGTTCGCATGGTAGACTTTGCACCTGGCGGGGAGTCCAATATGCATCGCGCCCTATCTCTTGGGATAGGAACTGTCTGTGAGGGAGAAGTTGAGCTCAGTTTGAGTAAAGACGGAAAAGTCAACCGGATTCTTCGTCCTGGGGATGTTATCATCAATCGTTGTGCTATGCATCGCTGGAGAAACACGTCCAAGGAGAAGCCAGCTCGTGTACTGTTTGTTATGCTGGACGTTGAGCCGGTTTTTGTTAACGGTAAGCCGCTGAAGTTTGATATGGGTGAGCTTATGAAGGAGTATGGTGAGTATAAGGAGGGCGAGGGCGCAAATAAGAAAACCTAGCATAATGGGGTTTCTTTGAGGTTTATTTCACATTCATTATTTTCCGCCATAAAACTGGGCGACGGGTAGTTCAGAGAGTTATCACGTCGTAAACTGTTCATACCCTCAAGAAAGAATTATCTTTACGTCTAGTGCTGTCGTTTCGGAGAGATTACAGTCATCTGAGCCGGCTCGCAGTTATCACAGTACGACTGCCTCGGTTTGAAACGACAACTCATTATTTCCTCGCGAATCATTCTAAGATTGAACAGGTGAGTGAAAGACCGGTAATCTCCCATTTAATTCTGCGAGTTATTCAAGTCCAGTGGAAAACGCCAGCTGAAGCCTATGGCGCCCCAGACGTCGGCGCCCCCGGGCGTCGGAATAGACACAGACAAGAAGATACATCCGTCATACTACTAGTGGCACCATAAGAGTACCTGTAATACAGAAGAAAATGGAAGAATGGGCTTGGTTGATGACGCGTGCATTCGTATTCGTGCAACGCGACCAAAACTCGTGTAGCCATAAGCAAGACAAAGGAGGCTTACCAATGTGAAAGTATCAAGCCACCAACACACAAGAGAAAGTACGTCACTTTATCAGCATGTCAAGAAGGGTACCCCGTATAGAACAAAGGGAACTGGCATTTGTCATGTCAAAACGCCATGCAGATTACGAATCACTCCGTTCCCTGTAGCAACAAGATCTCAGGGTGTTGAGAGAAAGCAATATTATAAAGGGTTAGCAATATAATATACAGATGGAAAGGAATCACAACATAGAACACGAAGAAAATAGACATTCCTTATCTTACTACCAAGCAACACAATTTACAAGCAAACGATGACGATTTACGTGGTCACTGGTATCTCCAGAGGCCTCGGGGTAGGTATACCAATAAAGCTACAAAGATAACGCTAATAGGTTTGAAACAGTATGAGCTCGCCCGTCAGCTTTCCAACGACCAGAGCGACACCGTTGTCGGCATCGTGCGCGACAAGCCTGCGACTATCACCAAGATTTCGCAGGATGCCGAGCTCAACCGACGATCCAACATCCACGTTATTGAAGCCGACTTGACCAACTACAATGCACTCAAAGTAGGCAGCACAGATGAAGCAATTCATTTTATACCAACAGAAAACTGACAGGCAGTATAGGAAGCCGTGAACGAAACTGCTAAGATTACTGGCGGGAGCATCGACTACCTTATTGCCAACGCAGCCTACGTCTCGAAATTCGATACCTTTGATTCCATGGGAGCCCTGTAAGTATTACCACCATATAAAAAGACACTGTACAGCAGTGCTGATTCGATCAGGGGCAATACCCCCAAGGAGCTAGAAGATGATCTCAAGATGCTCTTTGATGTCAACGTCGTTGCAAACATTCACCTTTTCAACCTCTTCATCCCCCTTATCCTCAAAGGCAAAGAAAAGAAAGTCGTGACTATCTCCACTGGCCTTGCTGACCTGGAATTCACCAACAACTTCGAGCATGAATTTACCCCGCTCTACTCGATCAGCAAGGCTGCAATGAACATGGCAGTCGCTAAGTTCAACGCACAGTACAAGAAGGAAGGCGTTTTGTTCATGAGTGTATGCCCCGGAATGGTTGATGTTGGCCAGTTCAATCATGGTATGTATGTGTCTCCCGGCGTATTACAGCGTACTAATAATCGACAGCGACCCCACAGCAGATGGAGGCGATAGGGGGAATGATGGCCAAGTTTAAAGAGTATGCTCCGCATTTCACTGGCCCAGCGACAGCGGGAGATGCGGTTAAAGACATGAGAGCAGTGTGGGAAAACGCGACTATTGAGGGAGGTTATGGCGGTGCCTATCTTTCTCAGTTCGGAAACAAACAGTGGCTGTAACGACATATGATTGCTGAAACATTGGTGGTGTCGATTCTGCGAAACCAAGAGCTAGATTGCCACTTCTGCCTACTCCCTGGGAATCTACAGACGTCTTATCGCATATCGCATACATAATCATGAGATGACAATTTGTCTGCCTCTGTAAAAAGGACATGGCCACCCAAGTCCCGTTAATCCGACACAACCGGAACATAGAAACGGAACCGATTGTGCGGGTCATATTTGGCCTTCAGCTTTCGAAGCCTGGCCAAGCGCCACGACTCGTAGCCATAGATTGACTGGAGGCTCTCGTTTTTGTTCCCAGAAGCGTAGTTGACATACGTCGCCGGTTTACGCGTAGGAGCTCCCGCATACCACAGATCACGAGCTTCTCGAGCCCATTTCTCAGCGGGATCCAATAAATTAGACCCCTCGGGGACCACGGTTGCAAAGAATCTCAGTCCTTTGTCAGTATCGGTGGCTGAGAGCTGGGAGGACACATACGCTATATGATACTCATCACGGTGGGGGTAAGCGGTCGACGTAGAATCGACGGCCTGCACTCCTCGATGGGCATATCCTTCGTAGTATAAGCGAGCAGTCACCGCTAGGTCTGGGTACAATGCGACATTGCGCATGAAATGATTGTAGAGCGCTCGTTCTGTGGTAAGGTTCCAAGTCTGCAGCATGACGCTGGCCAAAGAGAAGGGAGCGGAAATGCAATTAGATAGGTCTGTGTTTTGGCGCACGGGAATCTCGGGATACGGGACGTCGCCCATTTCATCCTTGATGGCATCGATGGCATTGAAAGGGCGCAGGAGTCTTTCTGCCTCAGAGGCTGGGCCAGCATAGGCAAATGTGAACCAGAGGATGGCCTAAAGCGCGTCAGATCTCGCGCCTTGCTTCAACATAAAAGGACAACACTCACCTCGTCACGTCGGATGGATGGGTCTATATAGATTTGTCCAAAAACCACGCCCAGCAGTGGAGGCGTCTTCCCATCATCTTGAAGCTTGTTCAATTCCCTGAAAACCCTTTCGAGCTTATCCTGACGCCAGTAGTAATTATGGTAGTGCCAGGTCTTTATCTTGGCGGGGTAGATCTTAAGTTTCAGGTTCGTAACGATACCAAAATTGTGTCCCGCGCCTCGCATAGCCCAGAACAGATCCTTGTTGCTTTTTTCGCTGACCGTGATACTCGATCCATCTGCTAAAACAACCTTCATCTCAATGATGTTGTCGCCCGCTAACCCGTAAAGGCCCTCATATCGACCGTGGCCTCCACCCAAAGCAGGGCCCGTGAGGCCGACGCATTGATTCGAGCCAGTGCCTGCAAAGCGTTATTATTAGTACCTCACAGGGCAGAGAAATAAATTGAGACGTGTGCTCACTTGTGACATAGCCGCGATCCCATAACAATGGTATGACCTCATATGCATATGCACCGCCCTGAAACCAAGCAGACTTTCCATCTCGAGCAATGTTCATGGACCTGAGTTGTTTCATGTCAATCTGCATTCCCTTGAATGCAGCAAGCGATTTAGTAAGGCCATGTCCACGATTAACAACGAGAAAATTGATACTATTCCGATTGCAATATTTCACCTAAACTATTAGTACAAATGGATGTTTACCTCGTAGACCATGTACTGACGATCTTTGGAATGTCAACTTCGTTTGCAGGCTGGACCACCACTTTTATATCCGGAGGCGCCATTGTATTCCATCTTTTCGTTGTGTTGAGCCAAAGAGGGTTACTTGGAAGAAGAATGAGAGAGTTTTCAGAGAGTAATGCGCCTAGCTCTTGTTGGATCTGGAAGACTGGTACTTCGCGGCGAGTCAGATGATCTGGTTGGAAGTATGGGGGTACAGATAGTGGTGAGCTGACTGCCAGTGTTGCGAGAAGCGTAGAAATAAATATTAGGCGGAGAGTCATCATTTTCAGCTGTTAATAAAATTCTTAAGGGACTGGAATGCTGTGAAAAGATGTCGCAAGTGCTGTAGATCTGAATGGATCTGACCAGAATGTTACAGAGTCCTTGAAAATGAGCAGATATGATACACCTTTTTAGGCAAGGTGAATGGAAGCAATAACCTGTTCATATGCAAGTTCTACAGTGTTCGCTTCATATAAAGTCCTGCGCAGAGTCCTCCTAACTATTCTGGATCTGACACCCATTCCACACCTACCAAGATCACATTCAACAGACGGCCCCCAATACTTCGTTTGATGAGACTCAGCACGTTGGACCGTTTCAGCTCTGTTGTAGACATCTTGTCGGAGTCCGAGTCCTTGGGTCAGACTTTGGAAGGCTGTCTCAGCTCTTTCAGCTTGTCAGCTGTGTTACACATCACGTCTGACCCAGCCCCCACCATCAGCAGAGAGCATGACAATGGGGGCAGAGTAATGAAGTGGGCGAAATGAAAGCTTGGAAGGAATATTGAGGCGCAAAGTGGTCTTGTATGCTTTCAAGCATTACGATTCCGATATCGTCCAGAGAAGATCTTCGGGGACTGCCTTCCATTCTCCGCGCTCATCAAGCAGATCAGAAGCTTGACTCCATGCAGAAGCCACAGCCTCTGCTCTTTTAGTGCTCCGCGGAACTATACGGACAGGGAACGGGGATGGTATGGACATTATACCTTCTGTGACGTCCTCTGCATCGGGTATAATGTCTCTGCCCGTCTCGGAGCTGACGACCCTTTCAAAGTCGAACGCCCACAAAAGGCGTGAAATGGCCAGGAATAATGACCGGTCGGCTATGTGCATGCCTTGACACCTGCGCCTTCCCGCCCCGAACACGTAGTGGTCGCGCTTGGTAGGGTCTGGGTTATTTGCGGCTTCGATGGATGTTTGCTGATCATCGATGTAGCGCATGGGATCGAACTGTCGTGGTGACGGATGTCTTTTTGGGTCATTGTGAATGGCCCTGTGTGTACGTCAGTGGGGAGAAGGATGATTTAGGCTCGCTGCAAGGTTCGGGTCTTTACTGACCAGACGTTAATGATGACTGTTGCTCCCTTAGGGATGTAGTATCCGAGATAGTTATCATGTTGAGCTGTTGCATGCGGTATACCCAACATGAATCCAGGCATCCAACGTAAACCTTCCTTCATGCAAGCATGAATGTAAGGCAGATCAGGCATATCGCCGAGACTTGGAAGGCGATCTCCACATACACGATCAAGTTCCATTTGTGCAGTCTTTGCGACATCGGGAAATATAACCATCGCTTGGACGAAGCCGATGAGGATACTGGCCGTTGTTTCAGAGCCTGCCTGGAGCAATGAGCCACTAATGTACGAGGCAAAAATGTCCGAGAATCCTTCTTCTTTCTGCAGTTTGACGAGGTCGACACACACACAAGGCTGGTAGGGAGAAATCAGTATCGAAATTGCCCTTGATCTGGGGGAGCTACCTTGGCTGAGCCGTCTTCGAGACCCTTCTTGGCTGCAAGGTAGAGCCCACGAAAGAGCCTCAGTTCTCGCTTATGGATCTTGAGCCCTTCCTTTTTGATCGGCATGAGGAAGTCGGGAATCCATCTCAAAGCGGGTATGAGATCTAGAAGGGCCGCTGTCTGGTAAAGCTACATGGTTAGGATATATCAAACAGACAAGAGAAAAGGCAACGCACTCTTGAACCGATCATTTCAGAACTGCGATCAAATATCTGGGCATCGATCAGTAAGTCCAATACTAGTCTCAGTACGTGAAACAAACATCGAATGCTTCTTTGAATCGCTCATCTTTAATGCTGGTTGTACGAGAGCCGAATGTTATTTGTGTAGTCAATGAAGCCGTATATCGACGCAAATGATCGACAAAAGCATCCGGGCTCTTTAGAAAGTCGAAGAGCATCGCTTTGCTCTCTAAGTCCTGGTACGGTATATAGCTTCGAGCCGCCGTCACTCCCAATATTCGATGGACAAGCTTCCGGGCCATTTTCCAGATTTCATTATCTGGCTGTTCTCTGTTAGTGATACCAAGGAGTCATAAGGTATCTTCGGTATATACCATAAATAGGATACGCAATCCTCCGCTGAGGACATCTTGACCTATGTATGACTCTGGTCGACTTGAATAGATACCACCTCGCTTATCTACAAGGTCTTTGACAGTCTGATCCGAGTTAAGGACTATCATGACCTTTGTTCCTAGTATCAGTGAGTATATAGGGCCATACTCCTGAGCCCATTTTTGGAACTGAATATGGCGCTTTCGGTTTGGAATCTGGTGTAGGTTGCCGATTATAGGAAGGGTTGGGGGACCGGGAGGATAACCCCTTGGCCGACGTCCGACCTTGCTCAGTCGCCAGAAACTAAGGATCAAGACTGGAATCAAAAGATAGGTGAGCATATCTGATTATGGTCAAGAGCTAGATTATGCGATTGATACGGCTGGAATTTGACGTGATAGCGAATTGAGGTCGATACGATACGATGACTGTTTCCTTACAATACCGAAGTTACGGGATCTACATCTAATAATTGCAGGATGCATATTCAATGAGTGGAGTTTGCCTCCTCACACAACCTTCAAGGTACACCTCCCGCTACTAAAACACTCCCATTTCAAGCGAAGCACGCCAGCTGGTGACGACAGGACGATAATGACTGCAAGGTAATGCATATGATTCTCCCATGTTTGTAATCAGCGCATAATACTCCAGCTTCTCTTCATTCTTTCCTCGCCAATGATGCAAAATTCTCCCTAAACCAGAGGAAAGCAGCAGTTGGCGTCGGATGGACATAAAGAAAAGTCGTACAGTAGATAAGGTAGAGTTACCGAAGAACCAGAATCGATGATGAATCAGAGACACTCGTGCTGTACGCCGTTGTACCATAGAAACGAGCGTTGTTGCAGTCGCGCAACTACTCAGACTGAAGGGAATTGTATCAATAATCAATGTGCTGAGGTTACGAGTCATTGTAACCGACGAGAGTGCTACGGAGGCATAGAATATGAACCTTAACCGAATCTTCTCTCCGCGATACTAGCAGTATTCAGTCAATCACGTCTTCGTACACAAAGTTTACCCTTGTAGGCAGCAGTCAACTACATAGCCCATAAAGCTGTTTCGTATCACCATCCCCAGTACGTCGAAAAGCAACAACAAGGTACAAGCTTAGCAATCAAATGCGCAGGCAGTGACTCGTATTACCTTTCTCACACAGGATGAGTTGTTGCCTGTATAACAGCTCACAAGTGCTAACACATGGTGGCCGAAGTATTTTAAGCTCTGTCTGTTTCATAGACGCGAGCTTATTATGTTACATTGTTTTCTCAAACTGCCCTTACCACAAATCAACTCTCTCTTTATTACTTGGCTTCCCCATCGTTGATTAAAACGAAACCTCAGGCATCATGGCATATGCATTCGACATCTCACCTGAGAAACGTGCCAGTCGCGCCAGCTTCGTCTGGCGGCAGCTCTTTGTCACACCACCACCCGTCTCATCCGATGAAGTCAACCTGTCGGGGAGAACAGCACTTGTTACTGGCGCTACAGGTGGAATAGGTCTCGAGATCACACGCCAGCTACTGGGCCTTGGATGCAAGGTCATCATGGGTGTTCGAGATGAACGCAAAGGCGAGGCAGTCCGTCAAGATCTAATCAAGGAAGGCAACCTCACCGATGACATGGTTCGGGTTTGGAAGCTAGACCTCTCATCATACCAGTCCATTACCGCGTTTGCTGCCAATGCAAAGAACCTCGACAATCTAAACATCGCGATTCTCAACGCAGGTATCTACAAAGTATCAGAGGCTTTCAGCCCGACAGGGTACGAAGAAGGGATGCAAATCAACTACCTATCAAACATTCTTCTGCTCATCTCACTGTTGCCCATAATCAGGAAGAATGCACCCGCGGGTGAGACTGGTCACATCTGCCTTGTGTCATCCGACACAGCCGCTTGGGCTAAATTCGAGGAGAGAACCTCAACACCTCTCCTACCCGTATTCAAGAAGCCTATGAAAACATGGGATATGGGAGAACGCTATGGTACGACGAAACTCCTTGGCCAATTATTCCTCACCGCCTTATCGAAACGTGTTTCTTCAGTTACACTGTCATGCGCGAACCCAGGGCTTTGCGGCGGGGGCTCAGACCTTGCTCGTGAAGCAAAAGGTATACTTCGATTTGCACACAAGATACAGTGTCTTGTTCTCAGTCGGACATGTGCTGTTGGTGCTCGCACAATTGTGCACTCGGCTACTACGCTGCATAGGCAAGCACATGGTCACTATGTCGAGGGTGATAAAATACAGCCGTGAGTAACCAAGATCCTTTCGTGTTAGGCCCAGGCTAATCATCCTTTGGTAACAGCATGGCACCGATTGTGTATCAAGATGAGGGGAAAGAGGTTGCTGAGAGACTGTATGCAGAGACACTGGAGGAGCTGTCGTTTGCTGGGGTAAGACAGATTATAGATGGCCTACCAGAGTAGTAAAGATTTATCTGGTGCTTACATTTATCTGCTGTGTATGGTCATCCGGGATCCGAGTCTTTGTGGAGCAGGAGTTCTTGAGGCCCTCAGACTTAGAATTTATGCGGTGCTTACAACCATCAATGTCCTGCATCGAACTTTTTCCAGGCTGCTGATTCGACAAACTGGATCTCGATACATGCTTAACTTAGGTGTGCCCTGTGTGACAGTGTGCAAGTGTCTCAAAGCCCCGTAAATTTCACATGAATAAGCAATCGTCAGCATTACCAAGACATAGTCCTGTGTAAACAAAGTAAGTCCATAGCACATTGGGCGAGTTATAATAGTCTACGACCAAGGGAGAGTGCCACCTGAAGTATAAGACGCCTCATAGTTCCATTGTTGGCTGTGTCATAGAAACAACATACAGATATTCCCGCACCATCCATTAGAGTCACACAACAAGACATCTCGTCTCACCCCCTTGCACAATATGGTACGTACATGGCAACTTTGGCTCTCCCCACGACCCATGAGACGCACCGAAACGCCATCGGAGCCACGTATGCTCTCTCAGAATGGCGCAGCGCTTTTTGAGTTCCACTACGAGGGCGATGGCCGGCTTGTAGTACGGGAGACGCATCATGCGGAGAACAAGCTTGTCCAGGATGGTCGTTCAGGCCCGCCACTGTACGTTGCCCGTCCCTCCTCGTACCGTCTATAGCTGATTTGTAATCAAGACACATTCACTGTGGCCAAATAGAGTACTTTCAGGTAGAGAGCGGAACCTTGGCTGTCATCAGGAATGGAAGGAAGAGTATTCTTGCCAAAGGTGGTGGCATCATCAAAATCCCTCCCGGAACCCGGTAACGTCATCCTCCTCTATCAACATAGCTCCGTAGGATTGACGAAAGGCGCTGCAGTCATAGATTCTGGGCCGATGCTCCTGTCACAGAGGATCTAGTGTTCCGAGTCTGGGCGGAGCCACAGAACTTGGACAGAGGTTTTGATGAGGCCTTCCTGCGTAACTACCTAGGCTACCTTCAAGACTGCGAAGATCAAAACATACAGCCCTCAGTCTTTCAGCTCGCATTGCTTGGCTGGAGCGGTGATACCCTCCTATCGCCGCCATGGTGGGTGCCTCTGTGGATGCTGAGGCTGCTTCACTTGATACTTGCTCATATGGTGGGGAGGCTTTTCTTGGGGTAAGCTGATTCTCCACCGTCACATCTGCTACAAGAGCCTGATACCTTTATAGATACCAAGCAAGCTATGAAGAGTATAGCCCAAGGATGACTGGGGGAAGGGGAAATTCGAAGAAAATGACCTGAAAATGCGTCATTTCGACCTTATCTAAACTCATGTTTGATATAACTATTGGGATGTATTTATATTTTGCAACGGAAAGATCTCTTAGTTCAGTAGCTCCTTCGAACATTGATCAACATTGCCATTTGAAGCTATCGTGTTTTAAGAGAAAAAGATTATGCGTGTTCCCCAAGTAGCTCAGGATTGCTCGCGATCCTTCTCCATGCCAATCATCCTGCTGACCCCATCCACATATCAAGGAATTCCGGGTTCGAGAGTACAGCAATATTGAATTCCGAAACGGCCCTTGCGCCTCGTCGGTTCTATCTTTCTTCTCTCTTCCATTTTCATTGTCGAGATAACTACGATGGAGGCTCAGCCCCGCCAAGAAAAAGCCATTGTTTCATCCACGACAATCCTATTCTCAGCCAGCCTCAAGGGTTGGTGGAGGGGGGGTAGCTGATTATACGTTAGCTTTGAGATTTGTCTACTCGTTGTGTCGGAAGCCGGCTGTGAATAGAGGAAATGAAGTTGGAGGAAATCTCGACATTTTGAAATAGATATGATGTGAAAATAAATTTATAGCGACTGACAGCACTAGCTGCAATCATTCGTGTACATAGCTTCAAAATGGTTTCATATACTCAATTCTACACTTCTAAGTCATCAATGACTCTTCTGAAATCGCTCTGGCTAACGGGCTGGCTAACAGTCCTTTTCCACAGTAGTCGTATCAACGCCATTGCTCTCAACATATCGCAACCTCACAGCGCCAACCTTCGCTATCTTTTGACTAATGAAGAGCACAGGTGGTCATTCAACACGTCGATCAACTTCGCCGGATCAAGTGACTTCTTCGCTTATACAGAGAGATGGACAACATTCAGTGCTCCAACATATGCGGCCGTGATCAGTCCAGGAACAGAGGAAGATGTTGTCAAGATTGTATGTATATATCAGTTTCAATAGACTTAGGAAGCTCATACTGTAACAGATTAAACTTGCAACCATGCATAATATTCCCTTCCTTGCTACAGGAGCTCGTCACGGGTATACAACCACTCTGGGAGAGCTACACAATGGCCTCGCGATAGATCTCAGTCATTTTAAAGAATTCGGACTAGACGTGGATGCAAAAACTTTGACTGTCGGTCCTGGCGTCACCGTTGGTGAAATATTCGATCCGCTATTCAGTGCTGGGTTTGACATCCGTGAGCTACAGTTACCTATTAGCCTTAGACCCCTATCACTGACATATATCCTGGATTAGAGACCGGCAGCGCGCCTTGTCCCAGCTTCATCGGGGTCACACTTGGCGGCGGTGTTGGTCGCTTTCAAGGCGTTTACGGCTTACTCGCTGACGCGCTCATCTCGGCTCGTCTCATCACTGCCAACGGTGAGATTATAGAGGTTTCAAGACATAGCTACCCCGATTTATTCTGGGCGATTCGTGGTGCCGGTGCAAACTTCGGCGTTGTAACCTCTGCCACTTACAGCGTTCATCCGCTAACAAACAACGGGGACATGTTTGTTGCGGAATTTATCCTTCCACCTCCGAGGTGGTCGGAGTACCTCCGAAAGATGGAATCTATGTCACCGCTACCGGCTGAGCTATCCTCTCTGTTGCTGAACAGCTTTAACAGGACCACAAACCAGGTATGACCTCAGCCTTCTCTTGATGCCAGTGCTGATCAATGATTTTAGACTCAATTGTATGCGCATTGGGCTTACAAGGGCACTGAAACTGACGCCCGTAAACATTTGTCACCAATCTTGACCATGAACCTCACCACAACTCAAATGAGAGTGCTTCCCTGGAACAGACTAGTGGAGAACACATTCGCTGGAGCTGCCGTTACTGTCTGTGAACCCAACACCAAGCGAAATCTGTACACCTTGAGCATGAGAAATTACTCAGCATCGACTTGGGAAGCTGTGTCTTCCAAGCTGGCGACTTTTTACGCAGAGTATCCGCAGGCGCGCAGTTCCTCTCTTCTTTATGAATTCTTCCCAAATCAAGCTATGGCTGCCATTCCCCAAGACGATACTGCGTTTCCGCGCAGGGATACAACGGCATATATGTACGTCTACAAGCAACAATTGAGCCCCGCTCTTCATGACTGACGTGATATTTACGATTAGAAACCTTATCTTGACTTCGAGCATTCATAATAGTGAAACTGACGATGCTCTGGCCAGGTTTGGTGAAGAAATTCGTCGGGATGTGGCCGCAACGTCCGGGTATCCAGAAATTACAACGTTCGTCAATTATGCCCACGGTGACGAGACACTGGAGCAGATCTATGGGAAGGAAAAGCTGGCACGCTTGGCAGCGCTGAAGAAGATATGGGATCCTAAGGAAGTCTTCAGCTTCAACAATGGCTTGCCTACTAGGTATCCTTGAAGAATGGTTTAAATGCTCTTTTAGATATTTCCTGGGGATTTTGGAAATGGCATAGATCTTCGGTCGCATATAAGGGTATCTTGTTCATATGTCCTTGATATATACAAAGCAGGTCCACTACCAGCAATGTCGACGCGCCATACGTAGGTCTGGCCCGTCACTTATGTAACCAAGTGAGTGACTCTGAATGCAATAGTGCAAGAGTATAAGTTACAGTCACATCGTCTTAGCCGTACAGTGCTAAGGCCATCCCACTGAATGCTGGCTCAAAAGAAATGGCTGAAATTGAGATGACCCGCGACGCCGAGCCATATTTACGGGGCTTGTGCAACTGAAGGAATAATGTCGGCAATAAAGGCATATCAATAGTCATTATCTCCCCCTCATTTATAAACCGACGCTTCAATAGTCAAGTACATATGAAAGTGCATCTCCATATAATTACCATTTGTAAAAATGTCCGCTGAGCTCGAGGATCAAGCTGCCTTCGAGGCCACCTTTCGAGGCTGGCTCTCCCGCCAATTCACCATCCCAAAGCCCTTACCAACCACTCTTGAACTGGTAGAAAAGACCGCAATTATCACCGGGAGCAATACTGGCCTGGGCTTCGAAGCTAGTCGACAGCTCCTCAAGCTAGGCCTTGCCCACCTCATCATGGCTGTCCGCTCTCAATCAAAAGGCGACGCAGCAGCTAGCATCTTACGAGATGAATTCCCCGAATCTACAGTATCTGTTTGGATTCTTGATATGGAGTCTTATGATTCTGTTACGGCATTTGCGGCCCGATGCGCCATCCTTTCACGGATTGACATTGTCATTCTGAACGCGGCGCTGATCAAACCATCTTTCACCAAAGCATCTACCGGACATGAGCTCACCATGCAAGTTGTTTATCTTTCCACGGCACTCCTTACTATGTTGCTACTACCAATTTTGAAGGCGAAAAGGACTGCTACTGGCGCAAGACCCCCAGTCATCACAGTTGTTGGATCCGACCTCGCATATCGTGCTGACATCCACACAACGGGTCCTGTACTGGAGCAGTTGGACAAAGATCAAGGTTACAGCCAATTTACATGGTATGCGCGGTCTAAACTTCTGCTCACCTTCTTTGTATCAACGCTCGCAGAGTCTGTCAACCCGAACCATGTACTCCTGAACATGGTTAATCCAGGGACCACGCGAGGAACGGCCTTCCTCCGGGAATTCTCCCCGCTCCTTGAGAGGCTTGCAGGAGTACTACAATTAATATTTGCCAGACCTGTGGATATAGCTGCCACAACGTATCTCGATGCTTGCCTTGTGCGTGGTATAGAGAGCCATGGGTCATTTATTAGTGATTGGAATATCAAGCCGTGAGTATTGCCCTTTTCGCCATTATGAAAACTGACGGTGGTAGTTACCCCGGCATATGGTATACTTCTGTGGGCAAAAACTTGAGGAAGGATTTATGGGAAGAGACAATGCGTGAGTTTGAGTCCTTTGGAGTGGAGAAGATCATCGAGGATTTGAACAAAACCCAGTTTGGAGACAGGGAGGCCAGCAAACCTAGTACCTCTATCTCTACTGAAAGAAGGACTGAGGCAAACTTGATATAATTCTTTGTAGACTTGGTAGATCTAGAATGTGACCTTTCTCTTTCTGGCACATTAATATCAGAAGTCTTTTTACTCCCTTGGGTGAGCGGGGTGCCGATATTCATTCTTGTTCAGTATGTTAACTAAGTACTATCTGTTATTAAAGTCTTTCCTTCTGCCTTTCTTTAATCCCATGAATCTTCCTTTAACATCATACTGACAGAATCAGTAAATCGGCTCGCACTAGAAAGGACAGCTGCCCTATGGAGGTGTTCGGGCTACACCATGTCAAGACACGCGTCGTTTCAACTCTTGGTCAGCGTAATATCATGTTGTGCCATTCTTACCTGCCTCATACCCCAACTAACTCATCCTTTACTTCTGTCGTTCAACTCAAGTCTTGGGGAGCACGGCATATTACTCATTGACACCAAACAGTATGGTAATCATCCTTTACCACTGTATAGCCAAGTCAAATGTCGAGTTTATGTCATCGTCTTACATACGTGGCTTATGTGAGATTATTAGCGTTGTATCACCATCCGGGGCCATGCTCGAAAGAAGTCTTCTACTCATGCAAGATAAGGTAGGCTTGACAAGAGAGAAATGGGCCCCCGTATGCTTTCAGTGTGCTCAACTCTCCCAAGAACCCCTCGCTCACCTTTACCAGTCAACATTTTCCCCACCGAAGTTCTATGATGGCTCGCCCCAAGTTTGCTCTCGTTACTGGGTACTGATTCAGTCGCCTCAAAGCTCTACTGTATTATTACTGATACTATCTAGATGCGGTCAAGGTGGAATCGGGGAGGCACTTGTTATGGAGTACAAGCGTCTTTCAATGCATGCCATCGCGACCGTTCTTCCTCACGAGTCAAGTGTCCATCTATCGCAGGCCGGCATCACCTGCTTCCCTTTGGACGTAACAGTTGAGGATTCCGTCTCAGACCTCAAGCTCAAAGTCCAAGATATCACCGGTGGATACCTCCATATCCTCGTGAACTGCGCGTACGCATCAGTCCCTCACAAGTCTCATTGTTCAAACCTGATGATGTGTCAGAGGAATTGCATACACTATGACTGCTATCGATACAGACGTGATTACTGTACAGCGTATGTTTGACGTGAATGTCTTTGGCCCCATGCGCATGGTGCATCATTTTCATGACATGATCATTGAAGCATCCGGCACCATAGTCAACATTGGTTCCATTGGGGGAACCATACCATTTGTTTATGGCTGTGAGTGTCCACGACTGATTAACGAAATCTTGTGCTGACAGACTCTCAGCGTCATATAATGCTTCTAAAGCGGCTCTGCAGCACTGGTCGAACACCCTGAGGGTCGAAATGGCTCCATTAAGGTATGTGAATCCTTCTACAAACAGTACCGCTAACGTCTATCTCTTTGAAGAGTCAAAGTAATTACGGTATGCGACTCCTATCACCATCCGCGACTCTACTCTTGGCTGATACAGGTGTCTCACTAGGTTATTTCGGGAGAAGTAAACACCAATATCCTAAAGACAGACGCCCATAGAAGACTTCCAGAAGGTTGGTATATGGAAGTTTACTTGATACACGACGACTCACTAATATTGTATTCTCAAGGGTCTTACTACTCCGCTCTTGCGAGGGAATTTGAGCAGCATGTCTTGCGAAAGCCGAGTAAGATGAATACTACCGTGACTTTCTGTTCTTGCCTACTCATATCTCTAGAAAATGCCACCGACCGTTTGGAATTAGCTGAGAACGTTGTCAAGGAAAGTCTGAAGAGCCGCCCGTCTGCTTGGTTTTGGTTCGGAAGCTTCAGCACCTTGACCAGATTTCTTGACACGTTTGCTTGGCGAACCATATGGGTCGGTTCTATCCCCTGGATCGCATACTATCTCAGCTAGTATTGACTGCTTATTAGGACTCAATCCTTTGGAGAATGTTTGACATGAAAAAGCTGCAACGGGCTCACGCAGCTAGGCTTCGGGAGGAGGGAACAGAATGACTGAGTGGTATTTCTAGGAATACTACTGGTCTTTTCCACATCTTTAATCTCATCGTTAGTGTTGACCTAAGTTAGTTATTATCGTTGGCTACTATCGATGGCCGAATCTTGGAATCTGCTATGGCTTCTTCGCTTCTCCATTGGTCCTCTTAAGAATGATTATGCTTCATCTCCTCAAGCTCATCTCTTAACAATGAGCGAGAACCTTTTTCATTTCACTCGCCGCCTATCGCTAGGTAATTGTCATGGCCGCATAAAAGACGGCCTCCTAGCCTTGCTTCAAGTCCACGAAAGGTTTAGTTGGGTACGAAGACTGGCCTTAGCTGTTCAGCCACGCTAGAAACAATGTCGTCTGCAACTTTCGTTCGCGTAAGGTATTCTCATAGTTCTTGTTTATCACTCACTGGCGTACCTATACCTGGTACGTTACAAATTGGGGGCTCAAAACTTACTGTACGACATGTCACCAAGCACAATGGTGGAACCTCATAAGCTTAAGGAACAAAAAGCAGACAGTATACACAAGATAAACATCACGTTGCATTGAATCCAGTATCCCGTTTCTGCCAAAAGAGCGAGTCCCAAGTAGTCCCCATATCTTATCTCATGGCCGTCAACGTTGTTCCACCATCAACAATCAAGGCTGTGCCAGTAATGTAGCTAGATCTCGAACTACACAAGAAGATAACAGCATCTGCCACTTCTTCTGCCGTTGCAATCCTGCCCATTGGCACTGCAGCATGTACAAACTCGACAAGACCCTGTACGCCTTCCAGGGCCTGTCGTGTCATCGGGGTATCTGTCCAGGAAGGACAAACGCAGTTGACTCTAATTCCATGTGACGCATTATCAAGAGCTATCAAGATATCAGCTGGCTGTTGATTTCTAGGGTTCTTGTTATCTACTGACCGCTATTCTTCGTCAATCCAAGTGCAGCGTGCTTCGACGTGGTGTACGGTATGACACCTGGACTTGCAACCATGGAAGACGCAGAGCCAAGATTCACAATCGCCCCGCGAGATACCCCTCTGCCAGCAGAGATTGCGACTGGCTCTTGAGCCCGCATGGTGATAGAAGCTTCTCGCGTGACAAGAAACATTCCTGTAGTGTTAACTCGAAGAAATCTCTCAAGGTCGGACAGAGATGTGTTGGCAATGTCGACCGCTTGCCGAACTCCGATCTAGATGAAACTCGTCAGCTATGCATGTCAGATCTTGGGATACATCGGCATCCAATGATGACTTACACCAGCCGAGTTGACGCAGTAATCAATGCGTCCGAAGGTCTGTACGGCATGGCTCATCATTTTTTGCACCGAATCTTCGCGAGTCACATCGACGTGAATGGCTTCACAACGGAATTTCTTGTTTAATGCTGCGGCTTTGCACTCGTCGACAGCATCTTCAGCAAGGCGAACGGTAATGTCA